TGAACCGCGTGGCCTGCAGCCAGACACTTGACCTTTCCATGCTTTATTTCTCCTGTCTGTGAAATGGCAGTAACACCACTTACATGCCTACAGGCTTGTTGGGAAGTGCTCTGTGGTCCTGGCATGAAAGTCGCTTCATAGTGTAAAGTATTGGTTTTCTATGTTGATGTGCTTAAACTTCTGGTTCTATTTTATTACTTGATAGAGTCAGTAAGTTTTTGTTGTTTTTTCGAATAATTCCTCTCAAGAGAGAACTAATTTTTGAAGTGAAAGTCAGCACTATTACAGAAGCAATAAGTCTGGTCCATTTTCCTTGTGTTTTACCAAAGCACAGCTGGTTTATCGTGCTCTGTAGTGCACAAACCTAGAGCAGATACAGCACATAGCCAAGAAGTATCTCGCTTTCTGGATTTTTTCCAGTTGCACAGATTATAGTTCTTTTCTGGACTAGAAATGATGCTGGCTTGGCACAGAGGTACAGTAAGTGTGGCAGGAGTCTGTCCCATGGGGTGCAGTGCTCATGGTGCTGCGTGACCATGGGTGGGGTGGGAGCTGGCCCCCAGCCCTGAGGAGATCTCAGCACGGAATCCGCTCAGTCAGGTGTGCTGGTGAGGTCTGAAATGTACCTAGGCTCAAAGCTGGTGACCCTCAGCATCCCCCGGCCAGTGAGGAATTGTTTGCAATGGGGCGCTTCTGGAGTGCTGGATTAAGCTGGATTTTAGATCAGTCTGGGCTCACTTATATTTTTTCCCCTCTTCTCTTTACACATAAATGACAGGAAACTCTCCCTCCCCCCAGTGGCATTGCCTGTAGGGGTTGCTCTGTCTGAAAGGGTGCTTTTGCTTCAGAGAGTGAAAAGCAGAAGCTCCTGTGCGTAGGGTCCGCCATCAACAGCAGGGACACGGTCCTCCCATGATGTCATGCAGAGAAACGTGCCCCGTCCTCTGCACTCTGCCTTTCCATTCACTCCCCTGAGAGCAGAAGGAGCCCCGTGCCTCGATGGAGAGCCGCAGCGTGTGAGAGGAGGAGGCCAGCAGAAATCTGGAGGTCAGCCACCACAGCTCAAAACGTGAAAGTCAGTACTTTGCACCCCGAAATAAGGGTGCAGGCCAGCCCCTGTGTCTGCTTGCTGAAGAGCTTTGCTGATAGCTCAGGCCTGGCTCCCGCCCGGCAACCGGCACGGCCTGAGGGGAGGAAGGTGCTTCATGGCACCCTGTGGCAGCTGGGCTGGCAGCGTGGGCTGTGGGGGCCGATGGGCTGGCAGCGCGGCCGAGGAAGGAGATTGTTTTCCTCAAGGACAGCTCTTCTTCAATGTTTTATGAATTTGCTATGTCCACACATTTCTTAATACAGTGTGGGTTGCCTTCTCCAGGTGAGTGCAAACTCAGTCCTCTGAGTTTGATGAAGGTCTCCATTGAAGAGAAAATAATGAAAGTATGTTAATGCCCTGGCCTAGCAGCCTGACATTTTGACTTACAGTCTTCCCTGTCCTCCACTGTTCAAAAATGTGCTCCTACATGGCCATGTACCAAAGAAATTTTTCCATATATGACTTCCCCTTGGCCTCCTCTTCCCTCCTCTTCTCCTGTGCCTCATGTGGAAGCAGCTATATGCAGGAGGATTGTCATTCATTTTTCCAGAAAAGAGAGACCTTGAAAAGAGAATTGCTTTTTAATTCCTTTTAAATTACTAAATGACAGGTAGTTTCCTATGGTTTGTCTAACATACATAAAAATAATAAAAAAAATAGTTTATTAACATTGTTGCCAGATCCTGAGATGTTTTGGGAACCAACTTATGTCTCTGGTTTTAAGACCTTTTTTTAAAAAGTCTTTCAAAGAAGGAGTGACTTAATGAGATTACTTGAAAATCCTCATTTAACTTTGAGTTGTCACAGTCAGTGTTTTCTTCCCAGCCAGTGCTTGGGCAGTGACCTTCCTGTTTTGATCTAATTTGATCAACTGAAAATTGCTAAACTGTAAGAGGTGTCGCTGTTTCCTCCTTCCTATGCTCCTATTTGTTGGGTGGTTTTGACAGGGAAGGATCCCAGTATCCCAGGTGGGTGTTTGACCACTAGACTGTAGGATTAGTGTCTCTCTCTTCTCCACTTCCCTGCAAATATTGAATTATTAATACAGAGTGAAACAGCTCTCTTGGGATACACACTTGTACTAGCACAGCCTACTGACCTGCACACGAGCCTGACTTGGGAGAATCAGGTTTAAATCCCAGGTGTGAGCCCAGGTCCCAGCTGGGTTCCCTGGATTCCAAGTTTACCCTCCGACTACTAAGCATTGTAAAATCTCTCTGTTTTTTCTTCACCTTCTACCTCTATCCTGGTGCCAAAAAATACTTGCAGGAAAAAAATAACTTAAATTTTGACAGATTATTGTTTTCTAAAGAAAATTAATTTCTAATTGGCACCACGGAGCCTCAGCTGAGCCGAAGGGCTATGGTAGCCCTACAGATTTCTGTGACTCCATTACATGAGGGGACATGGTGCTTAGATGATCTCAGTCTTCATTTATTTTTCAGAAATTTCCAGGAACTGCCCATTACTCAAAAAGTAGAAATGTCCTAATGAAGCCTCCAAAATACGGTTAAGGAAATAAGCCCTTATGATGAAAGAAAAATATTAAGATATGGCTTCCCATATAACTATCATATGTGTTTGCAGAGTTACAGACATAGTTTCATTTCCATCAATGAGCTTTTAGAATTGATCCAGCAGTATTTCAGGTTTGAGAATATAGAATACATGAGATTTTGCCCTGAGTTCGTCCTATACACATGCAATGCAGAGTATTTGTTTCTTAAAAAGAAACTAATGCTGTTTTTTTATCCTCACAAAGAATAATGACCTCTGGCTCTGAAAGAGATGTTTCAGTCTGCGTAATTATAAATTATTTTGAAAATGCATATTTTATAGATACTAGGA